GAAGCTGAAAGGATACACAGCAAGCTAACATAATGCAGAGGTGAAATCAAGAGGGTCATAGGCAAGCAAAACTTATGAGGAAGATGAAGCCATAAGTAAGCAAAATGTATAAATAGGCTAAAAATCTGAGATGGAAGACCGAGCACGGTGGCTCATGCCTATAATCCCAGCACTTTTGGAGGCCTAGTGGGTCGACTGGTGTCAGGAGATGGAGATCAGTCTGGCCAACTTGGTGAAACCCCGTCTCTACTAAAAATACAAAAATTAGCTAGGCATGGTGGCAGATGCCTGTAATCCCAGCTACTCGGGAGGTTGAACAGGAGAATCACTTGAATCCAGGAGGCGGAGGTCAGAGTAAGCTGAGATCTCACCACTGCACTCCAGCCTGGGTGACAGATCATGGCTCCATCTCAAGAAAAAAAAAAAAGGTGAAAAAAAACGAAGTGGATGGGTGAGCCAATACTTAAAAGTAGAAATTATAAGACACAAAAGATAAGCAGAGACAAAGTAGTAAGTTACATAGATGGCACAACACTAACAGAAAGATGTACAAACTCTGGCTGCTGAGTTTCCTAGAGCTTCTCCGAATCCAGTTCCCATCCCTAACAGGCATAATCATATTAAGGTCCCCCTTGGTATCCAAAGCAGGATTGGTTCCAGAATCTGCCACAGATATTCAAGTCTTTTATATAAAATGCTCTAGTAAATGCATACAACCTATACACATCCAGATCACCTGTATGTGAAACTACATGTGATCCAACTCACTATTATTCCCCCACAGGTAGCCTGCAAATAACCTGTCATTATGTGAGATCGAAAGAGAATTTGTTTCTAGCAATCACAAGTGCCTAACCAATAGCAAGAAGCAGAACAGCCCCGCTAGGAGGAATGCAGTTTAGGAAACTGGCTAAGAACCTGAAGAGAATCCTATTTGTTTTGAAGATGTTGTGCAAACCAGCTTGTGAGATCATGGAACTTTTAGAGCTTTTACCCAGGAGAAAGTGAGTTTTTAAGACACTTCATAGACGCTGCGATTAAGCAGCTTCAGAGAGCTAAATCAGATAGAATGAATGTGTCATAGTGTTACCCACACGCAAAATCTTTCTAAAGAAAAACTTTCTTTGCCAGGCAAACATGCCTGCTAAGAAAGCTTTCTTATGACCAACTCTCCCTCCTCCAAATCCAAAGTTAGTCGGACCAAGAGCAAGTAAGGCTCAGACCCAGGGGAATACATCCACAAGCTGGTCAATAAATAGCCTATGACTTGTGACATGAAAGCCCTCCCCAAACAAGGATAAGATGAGAAAACTAGATTCAATTTGCAATTGGGAAAAACAGAAGAACAGAAACTCAGCAGCTGAAGTAAATGGATACGTGGTAAAAGAACATACCACAGCTAGTTAAGAAGCACGAAAGATTTAAATATATCCTTGTGAGGAGTAGGCACAGGAGTCAGAAGCTATAAATAAGCAGAAACTGGTCAGGTATGGTGGCTCATGCCTGTAATCCCAGCACTTTGGGAGGTCAAGGCGGGAAGATCACTTGAGGCCAGAAGTTCAGTAATAGCCTGGGCAACATAGAGAGACCCTGCCTTTATTAAAATAAAATGAAATAAAATAAAGAAGTTAAAAAAAAATAAAGAAGCAGAAACTATCCATTAGCAATAGGATAAAGAATAGAAATGAGGAAGTGAGTATGTAGCAGGAAGGGAGTTCATGGCAGTAATGTAATTTACTACATTCCTAGTAATTTACCTAATTAGTTAAAGACATTCCTAATAAACTGAGCTAAATTGTCAAGTCAGAATACTATATTATGCACATGGCATGGTGTCTCATGCCTGTAATCCCAGCACTTTGGGGGGCTGAGGCAGGCAGATCGCTTTGAGCTCAGAAGTTTGAGACCAGCCTGGGCAACATAGCAAAACCCCATCTCTACAAAAAATACAAAAATGAGCTGGGTGTAGTAGCGCACACCTGTAGTCCCAGCTTCTCAGGAGGCTGAGGTGAGATAATTGCTAGAGCCAGGAGGCAGAGGTTGCAGTGAGCCAAGATCGTACAACAGCACTCCAGCCTGGGTGGACAGAGCAAGACCCTGCCTCAAAAAAAAAAAAAAAAAAAAGAATACTATATTATCATCTGGTGTAAGGGAAAGAATACTGAGTGATGAGAACCAATAATGCCTATAAGCAGGAACAAACAAAAAGTATTTGTAGATCAGAATGTAGATCAAACTGTAGATCAGAAAGTAGATCTGATATAATCTAACAGGCATATAAAATAGCCTCAGGATATAAGGAGAGTAAGGTTGCAGAGTTAACTATGAGACTGTCAAGTTCCAAAGATGGTCAGATATTTCTGGATGCTACATGACTGGGTTGCATTCTAGTTTTAGAGCTTGATTCTGGATACACTTATAGTAGCTGGATTGTGTTAGGTTAAAGCAATGTTGTATTATAAATAGGGTAAGAGATACATTTGCACATAGTAATCAATAGGGAGAAATGTCCAAGACCTGCCAAATAGCAACTACTATCTCTAAGGTCTCAGGAAACCTAACAACCCACCGGGAATCAGATTCTCATTGACAACTTGGCAGCATGGAGAGCAGAAAGGGCTAAAGCCAATAGTCTGTAGAGAGAAAGGTGATGTAAAAGGAAAGTCACACCTATAGCAGTTGCAAAAGCTCAAGTTATTAATGAGAAAAAAATGTAAGTATTCAGTAGCCAGGACGTTAGAGGAAGACAGAGTATGAGGAAACCAATCCGTAGTAGGAGCAAGA